AAAAATACTAGCATAATAGATTTTTGCATTATTCTGCTTTTGAAGCAGTTCAAATTGTAATATCTATTAAAATTTTTCAAACCAGTTTCGAAAGCATTCAGAATCTGCACAGATCCTCCTAAATCTTTTATTTACATCTACATACTATGTAATATATGTATGTATATTAATATGATTATCTCAACAAAATGAGTGCTCGGGGAATCAAATGAAAAATATTTTATTATAAACTTTTAGTTTGTGTAATTTGCAACGCCTTCGATTATTAAGCTTGCTTCAAGTTATTCAATTCTTAGTTGACGGTTTCCACAAATGTAATTCTAAGCAAGTGACATTGATATGTATTTTATATGAGCACATATATTGTACATATATGTATGTATGTATATACATGCATGCGTTTACATTCAAAAATAATTTTCCCATTCAAATAAATTCGTTGCAAACATGCATTGAAAATTCTAACACACATACAAACATTCGTGTATACTTATGTACACCGTAATGCATGCTGCTATTGCATATTAGAATTGTGCACATGCATTCCATTGATTATTAGCAAGAAATAAATATGACAGGCTGTCAAGCGAGCTTGTTGGCTAAATTCATATTCAAATCAAGAAATGAATAATTGAAAACGTAATCAAAACACAATCAAAACATACAACTGAATCAAAACAAAATGACAGCAAACAATTGGTGTAATTTAGTGCTGAGCCTAGCGAAAAAAAACCAAAGTCATAACTGCACAATTATTGTACAAAAACTACACAATGCTAGTATTTTTATACAATTTAGCTGCGGCTCCTAAGCAATTTCAAAGCAGACTAATATTGATATACTGACGAGCCAAGGAAGCTATGCATTTATGTAACAAAATATCTTTGTGCATGTGTATGTTTGTATGTACATACAGTACTGGGCATATATTAGATCTTATTTCTTAAATCGTAATCAGCTTAACGTGCTTTATAGCGGCGAAACCAAGATAAATAGGATGGATCCAGATGAAAAAACAATTGTACGTCGTCCATAAGGTCAAGCCCTTAACCCTAAGTATACCAAATCAACCTTGGTTAGTATCATGGTGAAAGGATTATGGTCTGGGGCGCGTTTTCATGGTATGTCTTTTTTTAATGATAATATACCATATCTATTGTCTCTGTGTTTTAGTAATATGCCTCTTTAAATCCATAATTGATAAACTTACGGAATAAATAACCGTTTTTTATTTGAAGACCAAGTTTGCTATTTATATGTCCATGGCTGTATATAATGTGGGTACGATGTGTGCATAGTGCACACATTTTTATTGGCATATAATATTTGCATGCTCAAATTTGAGAATATGTCGTAAGATAGTCAAAGCCTCAGCACATCCATTGAACATTCGACATACATTTGCCTTGTGACTTATTTGTTTTTTTGTTGCTTTTAGGCAATTTCGTATTGAAATTGAACTTGTGGTTTTAATGAGAGGGGTTGCCAGCTTTCATATGAATGATTTTTGTTTTTAAGGATGAAGGAAGAGATTGCTTATGCACCAACTATAGAACAGGTCTCCGACAGTTTCTCGTGCAAAGTTTTTTACTGGGAACAAACGATCAGCTCCACCTATTTCCTGCATCGAAAAATTCTCTCATATGCCTGCTTTTTCTGCGTCATGTTCAGCCATATGTCCATTAAGCTCAAATTTTTTTGCATTTACTGTGTTGGCGCAAGAACTGTGTTACTACGTCTCTACCATATCTACAGTTGCCATTCAAACTGGCCGATCAAATTCAAGGTAAAAATCTTCATAAGATAGTTCGACTTGAATGTTGTGCATATCAGTGGTTAGAAAGATCTAGCAGCACATTTTCCGTTGAATGCAAACCATTCGTCGGTTACATTTTAAGATTTAATTAGACAGCTAGTATATAGTAAATATAAGAAATGCACCTGTGAAGGCCATTATAGCTTCGGTGCAACCGGAGTTACCGCTTTATCTTGTTTTAAATAATTTCAGATTTCTTAGTATATGGAGCTCAGCCGAGGTAAGGATAATTTCATGTAATAAGACGAGACACTCCGCCAAGCCTCTAGCAAAATATGAATACAGCTAGTTGTTTTTCTATTCCTAATATTCCGTTGGCTTGTCAAATCCAATGTTAAAACAGTAATGTAATAAATGTCTCAACTAGTAACGTTTCAAAATTCTCGAGTGATGGATTTTTGCTAAAGATTTCTTGATGGCAGAACGACATCCAGACAGATGTTGGCCCTTAGTGGAAAGAACTTGTCTAGCAGACTAACGGAGACAAATAAATGACTCGAGTGATGCCATGGGTTAAAAAATTAGGATAGGGAATCATACCGTTATGCTTTAAGCAGTATCTCTTAAGTAAAAAGTATATAATACTTACGGGTTACAAAAGGTTTTGGGTTCAAATAATGCCTTCCCAATTTCTCGCATTTATTATTTCTGTTAATTGAATGAATTTTGGTGTTGCCCAACTATATTGAGTGGTGTATCTAAGCTGAAGCACCTACAGCTAAGCAAGTTCTATGATCTCAGCGGAGCCTTGATCATTCTTGGACAGCTCTAAAAATTAGCAAAATAAAAATAAAATCATAAAATTATGATACTTCAATGGACATGTGCTTCTTGGCTGGTGTGGTTGATTGCTGTGACCACTTGTGTGGCATACGCAATACCATCGGTATGCGTGGCTGCAATTTGTTAATTGATGATTTACGCGCGTACACTAGGCACTCCCCACTCGCCCAATAGTGGTGCCTTGATGCGTCGGAAAGTCGTAAACTAATTTCATGGACAGACAAACTCACATAATAACGCACTCTAAACAAGGGTGTATGTATGAGCGTATTTGTGTGTACAACTAAATTAAATAAATACTTATAGCCTCGTCGTAAGCAGTTGCTTTGTGCTAGTAGGCAGTATATTTTCTGTTCTTGAATCAGGCAACTGGGCGTTAGTGACTATGAGACGTTTCGCCATGACCGGTGGTCAGCTGGTTTTGGTGTTTAATTATTTTCAAATCAAATATGAATTTCTTATGCTGTCGAGCTAGACTGTGCACACGGCGGAGAAGCCGCTCAGTATTCAAAAGCGTGTAATGAGTGCGATACTTGACTTCAAGTTTCATGCTGCAACATTGTATATATAAGCATAGAATTAACTCTTCAATATCAATTAACGAGCAAGCATTATAAATTCAGAAGCTCGTAAAATGTGCTTTTACCGCATGCTACTTTTGATTTTGCACATACGCACTCGCTAACCAAATTAGTTTATTAATTGACTGGCATTCAATTTTTGCACGAATGCTTGGTTTTGACTTCTCTTTTATAAACCTACATTTATTTGTTTCAATATTTATGTTCGTACATATGAATATACGCGTATATGTATGTATATATGTGGGGTCGCAGGGTTTTGCTCACTTGAGCCTCAAGTTGTCGGCAGATTCGCTTTGGCATGTATCTTGGGTGTGTGTACTTGTGCTTCAGATCATTTCATAACGTAAACTTATATGAGTTTATAAATAAGCCAATTCGATTTGAACGCTATCTTGTCTATCTGAATCAATGCGTTATTTTTGTACATCTCTATTGTGCATATGTGATTTTCCTCTCGATTTGCTAGCTTATAGTTGTTGGCTAAGTGCACGCTGTCGGCTGTCAGATGCCGGTATTTGCTTCGATTGCTGCTATTTTGTTTTTGATCATTGGCGTTTGTTAAATGCTTGCTGCCGCATATTCACTCACACCCCCAATTTAAGATAGAACACTTACATATATAGCTAGCTTATTTGTTGTCTTATATGTTTCCTCTGGAAAACACATGTAGTGAACCGATACCGTAAAGTCGGCAAAATTCCATACGATTAAAATTGCAGAGCCCCATATTTACTGGTATCAATACCGGGTACTAGCAAGCCAGAGAATAAGAACTCCCCAAAGATGTATTGTAGAATTTAGACGAGCACTATAACCACATTTCGCTTCGAAACGTCGATACAAATAATTTTACAAAAAAAGCCCAGTATAGCACCCACAATGATATCGCATTGTACTTGCAATTAAACCAAATAACGCATTGATCTAAACAGTTTTCTCGCTGTTAGCGAGCACAAGTAATCGTTTCTAAACTCTCATGACCATCACTATTGTGTATCCTACACATGATTTATTCATTCGACAGCTCTCAAGTGTTAGATGCTTTAGACAATATTTTCTCCACTGTTGCTCGCGTTCAACAGCTCTTGACCGCTTTTCCGTAGATCTCTTTTCTCGATTAGTTTCTAAAATTTCACATATTCTGCATCTGTTCAGTGTTTATTTACTGAATGCTGACTTGTGTAAATGAAATGATTTTGAGTATATTTTAATAAAATGCGGCGAATTCGTAAGCAACTCGTTGCATAATTTATTTAAAACAATAGAAATTTGAAGATCCCAATTTAGGCCAATGAGCGCAATAGTTGGTGCAATGGTAAAATTCAAATGCATTGCACTTAATAGCACACACAGTGTATGTATGTGTATTATAAGCTTCGTTGCTGGAAAGTTTAATTTCAATAATAATATACAAATACATCGGTTGATAAACGATTGCAAAGTATGGGGAAACTCGGTCAATACCGTATTTTAATTAATATAGAATTCGAGAAACACGTCTGTAATATAAAAGTTTTAACCTCATGTGTTGTATGTGTGCCCGCTCATCAACATTTTACGAAAGTTAAGAGGGTCTTCATCATCGATTTTCAACTTTTAGTGACCCAAATCTACGCAATCGTTTCAAGGCGAGAAAAAAAAACATTATATCAAATGTGATTATTGTTCTTAAGCACAAGCCCTACTTGAAATCACATAAAATGTGAGGCAATTTTACATTAAATAGCCGAAGCTAATCCGTTTATAAAAATATACTTTTGAAATGCTTTGATCTCTCATCCTCACAGAAATAATAAATAAAAAACTGTTTCGTTTATTATAAAGCTCTAAATTTTTAAATTAAAATTAATTTAACTTTTTTTTGTGAAAAGTACTAAGCTAGCGCTTATCGTCACATCTACGACAAAACAATAACAACCGAGCAGCAACTCAAAGAAATACCGCAACCAGCGGCATCACTGTAATGGACGAACTGAATGATGAGCTTACACACACAGATCGTAGGATTATTTAATTTTTTAGTCGGACCCCAATTTTGTTAAAGTTGTTGCGTGTGGTATATTCTCTACAGGCGGAAAGCAGTCAACATTTTGTACAAACATACAACTAGTTATGAACCATTCGAGGAAGCAAACCCATAAATTAGGGTCATATACACCCGGAATAATTTTAGCTAAATTTGCTTTCAGTTTATTTTGGCACATTGAAAAGTGAAGCAAGCGGATGCGGCGTGAGATTGTGCTTGAAGTAAAACAATTTAATCTACAAAGGACGGCGTTGGTAAAGATAAGAAATCTATATATGCGGGCAGATAATTATAGTAATGTATGCAGGTATGTATGTCGGTAAAGTGCGCGAAACTTATCTGTATTGCCGTGCATTTGTTAGTGTATCCGTTGTCGTAAGAAAGTGGAAGTAAACAAAACCATGGATTAAGTGCTGAGCCAAATTGAAATGAAGTAAAGAAGTGAACAACTTCGGGCAGAGTCGAATTTTACACAGCCGAAGTGATTTAGAGCTCCAAAGAGCATTTAAATGCTCGCAAAAGTGAGAGTGAAAGTGAAATTATTAGATTCTGCAAGAACTTCAGAAAAGCCAAATCAAATTAAAGTCGTATAGGTTGGGTCAAGAACTAAAAAACCTGTCACCATGGATTGCGATTATTTATTTGTTAAGTTTACTGACTTATCTAAAATATACTCATCTGATCAATACCTATTAGATATATTAACTGATTAATCAGCTAATTGGTGTTATATATGTATGTATGTTGTGGTACTTTCAGATGTAGAGAATACTCTAAGCATCACTCATCCCACACATGCATACATAAGTATATCACAAGAAAGTTGATTAAAATTGGCTCGTGCACTCATACCAACGCCATCTAAAAGCCAATGCCCTGGCGTTAAAGTCAACACTGGTACATTCATGCATGTACATACATAGTATTGCATATACACATATACATATGTATATTCATGTACGTACGTAACACGTTAACTAAAATTACTTAACAGACTGATAAGCTCACTCACTACTACTACTACTACACACACACACATGGCTCACATGCAGCGTAAAAAGAGCAGCTTTTAGAAATTATCTCGCAGATTTCACACGAATGAGAACTTAAAATTAAAACATTTTGATTTGAATATTCCGAAAATGATAAATGATGATATCGAGCTTTGCTAACCAAACAACTTTGTAAGTCAGTCACAGTCATCAAACAAAGCCAGACCTAACAACAACAATTACAACAAAATGCGGCAGATACGATTGGCAGTAAAAACAATTAAAAGAACAAAAGCCTACTACAAAATGCGGCACCACACGCGAATATTTGTTGAATGATAAAAAATAATTTAGAAAATTGCAATAAATAAAGGGGAATATTGAGAAGAAAAAGTTATTGGCTTAGAAAAGTTGTGGTGAGAACGCGTTTGAAAATTGAATGAAGCACCACAACGCCACATACGCTTAGAAAATCAAAATGTTTATGTTGAAAATATGCCGCTGGGGAATGTGGTGAACACCGTTTGAAAGCCAAGCCGATTAAACGCGGCTTAAAGCAAGAAAATAGGTGCAAACGTTGAGCTGCGCAGCGCCGGTCAAGAGAGCCATTTATTGCGCGCTCATAGCTTAGAGCGACACATTTGGTCGATCACAGAGCATAAGAATGCTTAGAAATATTTGCGAACAAAATTATCGTTTGAATCAACTTTTGCTAATTTTTCGTACTTGAAATGTTCTCGATGTGATCTCTCACTTCTCTCACACGTGTTTCAACTAAAATAACAGCAAAAACATGTGGTGCGATACACATAAGTGTACATATGCTTGAAGTCTGGTTTGTGAGCTGGTATGAATATCTGCTGACTTGCCAGTTTGCAAAGAACGTGGGCTTGGAACTGATTCATGTACTTATGTATTATTGTATGTCTGGGTGAAATATTTTGTCGTACTAAACTTGTAAAAATTGAAAAATGCTGGCTTCGGCAGTTTTAACATTTTGTTGGGGCTTAAAAATATAATAAGTCTTATACACATTAACATACAGGTGTGATGTTCCCGGGAGGTAAACTTTGACTGATTGTCATTGAAGTGATCACAATATTCCGGTAATTTATTCTCTTTTGCTTGGCTGTGGAGAGCCACAATATATTGATAGAGTGAATGTCTAACGCAAAAGGTTTAGAAATATGGTATGTACACATATGGAGTATGTGGACTTTAGTGAATTACCGATTGCCCAGTGTTATCGTGGAAGGGTTAAAAGTTCAAAACTAATTAATTTTTTGAAATAAATTCGTTGACAGATAGCACGTTTTCGAATTTACCAATGCATTTATTTATTTTTCATTCTTAGTTTGAATGACCTTGGAAAGGCCGCATATCTATTATCGCACAACTGGTAAAGGGTAAAGAAATCTGGTGCCAGACAAATCATGCAGATGCAAAATATTGCTCGAATTAATTTTCATATGAAAAATTAGGCTAATCTCTTGAATAATCTGGAAAATAACACAAACAGATAAATCGTATGATTTTAAACAAAAAATAAGTAAGGTTAAAATCGAACGCAAACGCACTTTTTATAAAGGCGCACATGAAAAAGAATGTTTATGAATATCTGTTGTAATATGAAATATCAGGTCTATATTCCATACTATCGACGGTTGAGAGGTCTATGGCAGAGCCAAGTCCGAGACACTTTATAACAATCGCTTAACATTTTGTTTCTAAACTGAAATCGCAAGCAAAGGTATTAAAAAAATACCGCTATCTGAAATAGGGGAAATGTTTTTGCCATAACATGAAATACCTCAGTATATATATTATTCAGATGACCGGTGGAAGGTCTAAAATACAGATCTTAAGAGATCCAATTACAGCAGCCGTTTAATTGATTTCCCCGTATAATTGGTTAATAAAAATATGTGTTATTGAAAACAATATACCTTTAACTTCCCGCGGTAATTTGCACCAAAAATTTTCGTTAAAAAAATTATCTGGCAATAAACGAATATCGGTTAATTGATTTCCGGTTAATTGAATCAAAACTTTAGCAATTTCTGAAGTGCAGTTATCCGGAGGATACTGTATTTCGTTTATTCAAGACTCTTACACACAACTCTTAGTTAGAATTGTGCTGTGCGCGGGTATAAAAAGATGAAAATGAAATTGGAATCCCATGTCATACCCCCCACGGCATTGCACGAGTACAAAACATTTGTCTACACGCATACATGTACACCGTAAAATGTGTACATTAAAGGCCACAGTGTTGTGACGGGTCCATTAGCGTAGCCAGAAAGTTGAGCTAAGCAGGCAGCTGGCCGCTAGCCTCCGAAGCGTATGCGTCCTAAAGCTCTTTAGTTGAATTGTATGCCAAACAAAATAGGCCAGTAAAACAGCAGCGAGAAATAATATTTCGAAAATTTGGATGTTCGTTTGGATCACTCGCCGTTGGCTCTTTGGCTCTTTGCTTAGCTATGGACGCTATAGCATGTATGTACATACGCCTACCATTGCCTTTATTTTATGCTGTTGCTTTTGTTAGTTGCTGAGCAGCATAGTAAATTACATAGAAGTCAACCGCATGGCTGCTGCATGTGGACGGCGCTGCAGCGACAATGCTGATGAGAGTGAGCGGCTGATTCGCGCGCGGTCGTTTCGCTTGCCTAGCGGCGTGGCGTGGCGCTGCTTTGGCGACGACAACGTTGTGTGTCTGTTGTCTGTCTGCCAGAGAGTTTTAAAAGTTGACTTTTTTGCGCGGCGCGCCTCAGAGACTACGGTGTACTGGTTTTAGATGGTTAGCGTTCGCTGTGGCGGTAACGAGTGCGTCCTCAACGTTTTTTCGGTTCTATTTCAACTAATTATATATTTAATATTATGTATTGACTATCAAAACGTTTGTTTTATTTCATAAGAATTGTGAAGTTTTTATCAACAGCAATAAATATACATATGTATACATATGTATTTGTTCGTACGCAAAAAATAACGTATTCTATGCGTTCGACTGTCAATCGCTTCCTGTTGGATTTGCGAATTAGAAGTTGAGTTCAAATGAAAGCGTACAGAAATCACGAATTGTTATACAACGATATTTTAAAATTATTCTCAGAGAAATGTGTGTGACAGAGAAATAATAAAATAGTGTTTGTTGTGCAAAGTATTAAGTACGAATGAATCGAAGGCTGAAGTGCAATACGAAGGGAAAAGAAAACAAAAGAAAATATAATACATTTGAATTAAATATTTGTTTCGAATATTAAGTGCAATAAATAACGCAATCGTTTTCAAATAAATAAAAATTTTTACTGAAAATGCTTTATGGCTAGAGTGTGTAGCACATTTTTTAAGCTGTTGCTGACCGCTTTGCTCTTGTGTCCCGAATTGCTGCCGTTGCTTGCTTTTATTGCTGCACAGTGTTCTGAATATGATAAAATTTCAATAAAATATCAAAGTAAATATGTCATAAATCTATATTAAATCGTCGAGAATTAATTTCATTTAAAACATAAAAAGTTTAACAGAGTGTGCCAAAGAAACTAAAAGCTGAAAGGAATTTTGAGAAATTTAAGAATATTAATTATAGCGAACTACAGACAATAAAAATAAGAATTAATTATCTCAAAATCCTTCGTCCCTATATTTGACTTCATCTTCCGTTTTAACTAGAAGCAAATAATGTGACCTTCAAGACTCGTTTACACAAATTTGTGTTTTCATTTGAGTTTTAGCCAGGAAATATTAAATAACAAAATCTTTCGGATTTAATATTATAAGAATCATGAATGTGTCTATTTTGTGAATCAAAACTAAAATTGACTCAAATCACGATTGAACAAACAAATAATTATAAAAGCAATGCTTTGATATCTAGAAAATAAAAATGTTAAATGAAATATGTAAAACTTCGAAATAGATTGATATTTATTGAAATTACTTCTGACTTTAGTTTTAAGTGATTTTCGTAGTAAAAACACTTATACGCATAAAAAAGAGTAAAAATTTGCTGACACTCATTTTATTTCGATTGTTCTATTGTAACTGTGTTGTTGTTGTCTTTAGAGTTGTTGTGTCTGGTTATGTGCTTGAGGTTGCATGTTTTGTGCTTCGATGGTCAATTTCCCTACAGCATAATAAATTAGCTCATTTTCGTCAAGAGTTACATTCCGCAAGAATATATTTCCTAACTAGTGATATTGGAACTAGGGCTAAATGAATGCTACTGTGTCAATGAATTACATAAATAATTAAATTATTTTATTATTGCCAAAGCAGCTCATTTGTTGCCTACAATACACGACCGCTGCAATTTTAGACCATTTCAAAATGGTCACCAATATTATATTTCATTAAAGTTAATGTAGTCGGCATTAATTGCTTAAGGTAAAGCAGTTGAAAGTTTTTTACGTGGTGTTTAAAAACGTTCATCAAATCTCAACTTTCATTAGATTTTTATAATATTATACTTTATACTGAATACCGAACAGAAACTGCAGGTTTTACTTTGGAACTTAATTAAGGATTAGATTAGAGAGCTTTCTTGATCATCATTCATGTTAGAAGTTTAACGTTAAACACCGCTGTTATAAAAATTAAATTTTGGTTTGCAGCGCGACCTGACTATATCTATCATGATGCTGACTTGCAAGCGAAAAATTAAAGCCGCGATCACACAATTCTCCTTCCCCTCGGAAACTCGTAGATTTCTCAGTTATGCTCGAGTTTAGTGATTTAGCAATCGTATTAGAAGCAATTCATCAATCTTGAGGTCTAGGAGAAATTACTGGTGAACTCAATTGAGCACATGATCAAATGGAAAAATCAAAAGTACATAAATTTCTATGTAGCACAAGTATATATGTATAAGTATTTGCCTAACTAAGATGTATATGGACCAATCTCACTATCTATTCGGAGTCGAGTGCGATGTAGTAAGTTCAACGTTATTATCAGTAGATTAAACATTGCAAATTATGTTGATTCAAAGTCATTGTCGCAGAACAAAAACGTTTAAGTATTAAGCAAACATTAACTACAATGAGCGAAACTAAAAAGAATAAAACTTGAGTAGAAAAAGCAAAAATATAAAAATACTAAGCGAAGTCTAGGGAGCAAATAAGCCAACGAACAGCTGAGAAATGTGAAAAGCTGATGATAAAATAAAAATAAACAAAAGCCCGCCAACTAAGTGTAAGATATGGTAAATGACGGCGCAAAGCACATCATGTCAGCGTTGGTTGCGCAGATTCTAAAACACACACATGCGCGCGCACGTGTTAGTATGCTAATACACTATCTGCGTCATCCCAAAAGTGGAGTTACCGCAGCTAGTGATAGTGTGATAACCACTGACGACTTGATATCTGTAATCAAGTTAAACGTGTGTAAACGCATTAAAAGCATACAAATATTGAGCTTGGCAAACAAACTGCTGCTGTGACTCGCTTATCGCCACCGATATTGCAAGTTGTGTGTGTGCAAATAAAACTCGTAGTCACACGGCAATGACTCGCAACAGTTAGCGAAATACTCACAAAGTGAAAAAAGCAAGTGGTAACCAAGAGTCATTCAATCAAGCTGACTTACAACCACATGTGCAAATTTTAAATTGTAGGGGCTTTCAGGAGCCAAGTAGTTGGAGTCTGATAACGGTGCTAAGAGGTGGTGCGGGTTGTGTTGAGGTAGCATTTGTGGTGGGCACAAAGTGTTTCGGTGGCGTCCACGTTTTGTGTGTGTGTGTGTGGTCATTGCAAAAAGGCTAAGTAAAAAACCTACTGGCAGTGAGTAGAACGGCAGATAGAACATAAAAAACGAAAGTACGCAAAGAGCCAAGCGGCAAGCGGCACGCTGAAAAGTTAGCTAATAGCGAAAAACGAAAAACGCTATAATTTCGTTGAAACGTGACATTTGTGAAGGCAAATAAACGCAGAGCGGTGGGAAACGTACCATCCTGCGCCCGCGCGTCGCAACTAAAACGTCGTCATGCCGCGCGCAATCGCCCGAATTCAATTAAGTGTCTATGCTTTTCAAGCGCTTTGTTTTTCCAATATTCACTGTGTTTTAAATTTTAGCAATTTTTTGCATTACCTTTCCTCCGAATTTCACATTTAGCGCAAAGGCTTGGAAATAAATAAAATTCAATTCAAATAAATTTAATGAAAAGCATATACTTACTGTATGTAGGAAGCTGAAATTCGCAAGCCACTATAGTTGAGTCAATTAAGTGTTCGCCGAAAATGGGCATGATGACTGTTAACAACAACAACAACAATAATAATAACGATAGTGAAATTAATAGTAATAGGAGTGGCGCGACCGTTATGACAACAACGCCCGAACGCAGCACCGCTGTTTCAGCAGAGACCCCACCAGCGCCCGTTCACCCGGCTCAAAGTGTCAGCGAGGAGGCGTTGCCAGCCGGCATGGCGGCTGGAGATGTTTCGTACAAGCAAAGCGCTAGTGATTGGTATGACGCTGATGGCGATGTCACTGCCATTGCGGCTGTTGCTGCGGAGTGTGAGCGGTTGCTCGCAGCTGCAGCAGCTGACGTAGACACTGACGTTGGGAAAGTGAATACTGCCGAAAGCGTTGCAACTGCCAACGCCTGCAATAACGCAACGTACAACAACAATGACGCGCAGTGCATGTGCGAAACAGTTGAGGGTGTCATTTTTGATGACAATGACACTGACTATACTGACTATGACTTCGATACCGCCGATGCAGAGGTATTGAATAGCAACGAGGAAATGCCTCGTTCGCAACTCGACTACACCACTTCATTTGCCTCATACGATAGTCATGTGCATCAGTTGAGTCGCAGCCATCGGTGTAATTCGCACGCAACATTTAGGCTGCTGCGACAACAGCGTCAACAACAACAGCAGAAATTGCAACCGCGCTACAGCACCCAGCATAATTCGAGCTCTTTGAAGCTGAGCGCCTCCAATGCGTCTATTTATTCGTCAACCACCTCTACCTGTCCTGCGTACAGTATCGGTGAACCGTTGTATCAATCTGTTGCATTCACGGACTATGCCACTACGGGAGGTTGCACCATAGAGACGCTCACCACGGGTGAGTCAGCGGATGAAAGTGTGTTGCGGTATTCCTTTAAAGGCTATCCGCCTGAGTTGTATTCACCGCGCAAGGAGTTCATCTACACGCGTCCACTGGTCGAGAAACAGGTAAGGTAGTCGTTTCAAATTTTTCATAATAACCTTCCGCCTGTATCTGTGTTTTAAATATCTGAATATTTTTCAAACGATTAAGTAATTAAGTTCGAATTATAATTTCTACCGATTAGCGAGTACCATGAGGTGGTGCTCTTGGTTTAACCTCGCACATTGAGTACCTAAAAAAGTATTTATCAGTATGCTTCTTTTGTAGTTCAGTGTAAATTTTGTATTTACTTCAAAAAAGCTTTATATACCTATACCATGTATATATTATATGTGGATTCGCCGCCCATGCTGGCAATATTTATTTTCAATACTTTTAGCCCATCTTCTCATGTTATTGATATTGTTTTTGTGATTTTATTGTTGTTTTGAACCTCTTTACACACGCGACGTATTGTTTAAAAGCCATTTAATTTGATTCGATTAGTTTTTGCAATTTTTATACCCATAAATCAACCATCAATGTTATACTAGTTGGTTTCAATTATCTACTCTTTGGTTGCCAAAATCTTTATATATGAAAGGAGCAACAGAGATATCGAAACCCCATTCTAGTGGATAACCATATGTTGTTCATCTGTATATACTTACGGTTGTTTTTCGGGATTTCACTCTCCAAGAAAAGGCGATTAAGAACGGTTACACTCAATGCAGAGTTGGCAACTAGCAAAAATGACATTCTAAAAAGACGCAAGCTAGACGGCTTCAAAAAATTCCAAAACATAATTTATTTGAAAATAGGAAAAATTGTTATAATGTGCGTTGGACTTGAAAGTATTCGTTTGTGCTCAATTAAGATTTCCCTATTTTATTTGTTTATTCTGAAATGTTTTATTTTTTCGGTTTTACGCTTTTATTTTCATTTTATGCACTCTGCTATACCGAAATATCCATAAATCTGAAAATATTAAACTTTAGGTGATAATAAACGAATTTTAGAGCGTGTGCATTTGTACGAGAATGAACATAAGGACGTATATATAAAGCTAACTGCGGTAGTGTAGATCGTGTGTATGGCGTGACGAATTGACCCCAAGTGTGAGGACACTGATACCCCTAACCCGTTGAGGGCCCCAAAAAAACCTACTATATTCATATGTGAATATATAATAATATATGTATATATATAATCATAAGCTCAACACTACATCGATACGAACTCATGGTGGCAGATATAATTATATTATATATAATGAAGGTAGCCCCAGACCAAAATGCGTGTGTGATACTCCGATATAACCAACTGATAGGGTTAGGTAAAGTAATTATTTTACTATATTCTTTTTCGAATCAACATAAATTTTGTTTATATTGATTCCTCTATGTTAAAAAAGTAAAAAAGTGCAGTATTAAAGAAAAAAGTGCTGTCGCCGCCGCCACGTGGCGAATGATTAGCATTACAATTGCTGTCTGTTGCTTTATTTTTACTGTTTGTTAGTTTAGTTAGTTTAGCAAATGTTATTGCCGGTATACGCACAAACACACACACACACAATTTAATTGTATGCCTTAATGTGTTTCTAAGTTTTTGTTCAGCTTTTAATTTTTGTGCTGTTCATTTGTACGAGTATTCGCTTGATTTGCATTATTTATGAACACTTGTCGGTTGTCATTGTTATTGTTTTTGTACTTTTTCGTTGTTGTTGACTTAACTGTTACTTTATTTAAAAGGTTTTCAATATGCAAAATATACGAGATAGCATGCATAATGGCTTTGTATGATAGCAATGTTGTTGTTGTTATTGGTTTTAATTGGTTCAGCATACATATGTATGTTTGTTCCTGTTGTTTGTGCTGCTGGTAATTGTTGGAAATATTGAATTTGGTCGGAGTTTTGAAATATTCGATGGAATGTTCTAAAACCTAATATTTTTATAAAACTTTAAAATGTTGCGTAACGCTACTTTAAGTAAAGAATACTTCGGTTTGGTAAAGCATCATCATTATTTAATGGTAATTATTGGGCGTTAGTGCCACCAAGATCTCTCAGAATCCGATTTCCAAACATGCCTTAAGGCTGAAAACATATCGGAGTAGCGCTACAAAGAAGCGAGAGCATTACTTACGATATAAACTACTTTATTGTAAGTTGTATATCATACATATCGCTATGATAAAAAATATAAAAATAAAATTGATATTGTTAAAATTTTGTCTTAATATTAAGTTTTATAAATTATTAATAAATTTTATTCCGTTGCCTTTCTGTGTGGGAGTCGACTTAATCCACCCACTACAGTTTAGATTAATCAATGTTAATTCATTTTTAGACTTTAAATGCTCATCAGCGTTGGCGTTGCCAAAGTGGTTAACATCTGTGTCGAGTCGCCGACAGTTTGCTGCACATGCGTCTTTTGTATCACTTTATTCGGCACTTAATTAAATGTAAGTCGCCACTAATGATTTTTCGCCATAAAACATTCATGAATTTTGCTTTAAAGAATTTATGTGTGCACTTTGAATATATTATTTTAAGATTTCCGCACAAAAATAAAAAAAAAACTAAATAAGTACAGACACATTAATTTTCATATCAAATTAGGGGTTATGTTTCCGTACAAGTGTAATTATAAAATATGCTTTGTTTTATTTCGTCGTACTATTTTGCATTGATTTTTTTTCAATTTGGTTAGAGTTAGTTTTTATAAAAACTGCAATTGCGAGAAACTTGAATATTTAGTTTGAAGTATATTTTTATTTAGTGTTAGCTCATGATTTTTTTTCCATATTTTTTTTAAACATTTCACTCACTTCAAATGAATAGCTTGCACAGCTTTTAGCAAGTCAACCCTACTATACTATTAGTTGTTTCTCTGGCTTTGAACTTGATGTTATTTTCACTTTTTATTGTACTATTTATAACCAACTGTTGCTTTTTTGTTATTATTAGAGTGGTTGGTTTTTTGAAACTAATATATAATATTTTCTCTAATAGAAAATTTAAATTTACAATATATTATTATATATATTGTATACTGGATGCATAAAAAGTGATGAGGAAGTTTTCCCGATGATTATATTTCAAAAAGCATGCTTGTCTTCAAATTCATAAATCATAATGCATTGCGGAGTAGTTGCTGTCTTTATTTCCTAATTGCAGTCTCATCGTAAATTCTTTTCGTTCTATGGACTGTTTTGTTAATAGTTTGTATTCAAGTAAATGTTTGTTGTTTTAGCTCAGCTAAAAATTAATGACGTGTGACGAATAATTAAATAACTTTATAAATTATCTCAAAAAACTAACATTTTTGAACATGAAGTTTTATTATACAAACTCATAACCGCAAACATTCCGTCCCCTCTTTTATTTCCCGCTAAGTAACAAAAAACACTAAGCATTCTACCAAACATTTAAGTATGACGACAACACGATTTGCTAATTTTATTACCAAACGTTTATGGTGAAAATGAATACATTAAATAAGCCAGAATAATTTTTCAATTTATTTATTACAATTTCCAGCAAGCTCAGCCATACCATAAAGTACATGCACATATGTATGTACAAACATATGCCCTCTTAATATTTATCTTATGCTAAGCACGTCGCAAGCGCGAGTTCTGGTGTCGTCGGCGGTGTCGCTCGTTGTTATGCAGCTACGTCTGTATGGCGGCACACCCTGTCGTATACGTATCCCTCATATATTGTATTTCGCTAATGATTAAACATATCTTCGGTATTCGGCTAAACGTTGGCATACATATGTGACAGTCTGCAATCCACTTGAAGCTCTATAAATAATCTAACGATGTAAACCAGCAATTGTAGACTTTTGTATTGCTTATATAAACTTGTACGCTTATGCATTTCATACATTCTTATCTCTCTACCAAATTTCTGTATTCATTCATATTTTTTAGGGCGTTGTTCTCTCTCTTTGATTATTCTGAGATTTATTTTCAAGCGCTGTGTGCGCTTATAAGAAAGTGCAAATGAATACGAAATATTATTTTGACTATTTTAATTCTAATTGGAGAACTTATAGAATTGAGTTTCAGCTTGAATCCTGCTTTAATAATTGGTTCTTATTATTTAAAAAACAACCACAAATAAATAAGTAGTGTAGTAATCGAAGAACAATACTCTGTTTTGAGGCAGAAAGCGTACTTAAGAGTTATAGAGAAAATACTAATATTAGATAAAATAGTTTCCTAAATATAATTTTCTAATTGCAATGATCAAAATATGCGTTTTACTAAATGAAGACAGTTTATTTTCTTAGGTAGATAGTGTGAAGTTCTCTACATGGACAGTATAAAGTAAAATGGAACCGGTATAATTGCATAGTGTTAACATCTGTGTACCTGATAGAAATATTTCTCTATTTTTATTTTAATATTGTAATTAATTCTTGTTTAGTAAGTTTTTATACCCCCATAATTGTAAATATTAAAATTTATAAAGTTATAGTACGGTCTTATACTTGCTCAGCAAATTCTGAAAATTAAATGTTTGGGATATGTTCATATTTACATATTCTGTCGAAATTCTTGCTGACAGCCTTTGCGTCAGCTGTTTAACAAGTCTCAGAGTTCTGCAAAAAAAAAAAAGGAAATGAGAAATAAAAAAGGAACAACCGCGTGACCACAGTTAACCCAGTAAATCCGTCAGCCATTCAACCAGTCGCTTACTCATTAGTTGCCCTTTTTGTTTTTTACATATATTTTCTTTGTTTTATATCTTTTTCGCTTTTTGAAAATGTGTTTAAACTTGTTGTTATACCGTCTCTATGTGTACTCTTTTGCTTACGTCTTTGTCTTCGACGCTGACGGCTGCTGTCATCTGGAATGCAAAAAAGTATGCATACATACAGATGTAAACGCATACGGTACATATGCTATCTTTAGGAGGTCATAGTGATATATATATATATTTATATGGTACATACGTCTAGCCTCAATGTAGGTTTATATTTAATTCTCCAAGCGTCTGAATAAATCGAAGCCTTTTATGCAAATTAAATCGTCTCGTAGAACTTTTGTGCAGTGGGGGTCATGGTGATATG